ACACACACACACACACACACAAAACCTATTTTCATATCATCAGACAGCCAAGATCTTAAAACATCTATGCATTCCAGATTGCATTCTGCGGCACAGAGCTTTTTTTAACTTACAACAAAAATAAAAGGCCACTTTCTTATCTCTGCTTTACATATTGATAAATAACAGTAGAGACCAAACATAAAAATCTACTTTGCTGACAACTTCAGTTATCATGGTCAGCCACCACCTAATAAAACCAGTCACTAGATGGCAGAGTAGACCATACTGTTTGTCCAGAATCACACTGATGATCTCATAAATATCCTTTACTGTGTTTCTGAGGGATTTCATCTTGTAAAATGATCCACAACAAAATACCAGAATAAATGTTTTTATTTTAGCATTAGATTTACAGCGATTGTCAACATCTTTACAGTGCAAAAAGTGTAAATTAAATTACTGTGTCAGGGCTTGAGACATGAAGTGTAGTTCAGAGTTATTTAGTATCTCAAGGCAGTCGTTAAATCATGTTTTAAATGGCTTTCCAAGACAGATGTGGGTTTGATTTGACATCTTAAAATAAACATTTATTCTTAGTCATATATATAAAAATACATAGTTTTGACAGAAAGGCATAAGGTGTGCACTTGCAGCTGCTCAGTTAAAGATACAAACTAATACATTGGCTTTGTTTTTTAAATTAGTGCAAGATTAGAGCAAGAGAAGACTGAAATGATGCTTTATGATATGATGCTGCGTGTGTGTGTGTGTGTGCATAGTCAGTGGGCAGCAGGCAGTCAGATTGCTGTGAACAGAAACAGGCATTTTCTGAACAAACACAGGATGCAGTCACCACGAAGCATCACAGTTTTCAACAAGGCTTTCAGTAAAGGGCATTTTTTCCTCTGCCAAGGACATTATGCTTTCACCTAAGTCGGTTGCTTGGTTGGTTGGTCTATGTAAGATTATGCAAAAATTGCTGGACGGATCATCAAGACACTTGGTGGAAGGATGGGCTATGGTTCAGGGAATTAACCTTTAAAATATGGTGTGGATCCAGCAATTCTTTGATCACTTTCTTTGATATTTTCACTGATTATATCCCATGAACTAGTTCTAGTTCATGAACCTAGAAAACAAAAAACAGGCATTTCAAGGGTTTGATTTCTATAAGCATATGCGCCTTGATTGCGTGTAAGGGGACTGTTTGGCCTTGGCGGAGATATGCGCTTGACTGAGTGCCACTCTAGTTGCACATGTTATGGAAATGAAATCTCTCAGTATGTGTTTCTGGAGCAGAAAACCAGAAAAAACATCCCTGTGTTCACATGGATTTATAAATTCACCTATCCAGTTCAGTATTTCATCTGCAACGTCAAAAGATCCACAGTTGGGTGAGACTTTCATGACAGAAACATATTTCAGTCCAATCGTACCCCCTCCTCTTTATGACGAGCGCTAGTGTCCGGGCTGGGGGTCGTGGCTTGTGTCGCCCGCAGCTGCTGAGGAGGTGGAGATGCTGTTGTGTTGGATGGCCAGCACATGAGGCGCTGCGGGGCTGACAGGAGTTGGACTTCCTCCTGCAGCTGGACACAGAGACAGCTGTCAATCAAAGTCACTGACCTTGTGTGGACTGTCCGCTCTGTGAGGTGCGGGGCCTTGACAGCATGTGTTTATAATACAGGCCACCGGATGAATGAAAACAGTTTACAGGTTAAAGGAAAATATCTCTTTTATTTTTAACAACTGAATACTGTACATACACGTAAAAAGACAACAGTAGAAATATATGAATACAACACATGCCAATATTGCATCCGTCATTGTTCTCTGAAGCTCAACACTTAAATCATAATGGCTGTTTTCCATTAAAGCCACAAGGTGCAGTATTTTTATTCTTTAAGGTCAGTTACAGGTTCAGTTATTGTTGAACATTAACATTAGCCTGGCTGGAGTGCAAGATGGGCATGGTCTGCATTTTGTTGCATGCTAACTTCATGCGAGTGCAACAAGAGTCTGCACTCCAGGGTATTTTAAACACCGTCAAGAGCTGCTTCATTAAATGAGAATGAAAAATGAAAAATATTCTCATTTGAATGAGAGTTCGGAGTGCAGTGCCTGTTCCTGATTGGTTCTCCACTGGAATAAAAGTGCATGAACGGATGCACTCAAGGGGATAAAAGCAGAGTTTTGACTCTCAAGTGCTGTTTAGTTGCAGTTTTAGGTTCCTGTGTGTAGAGGGCGGTTTGGTATAACAACACTATGTGCACAGATGCGGTATAATGTGTCTGAATTATACCCTGATGGATGGAGATGATTGGTTTCAGGCATCTGGTGATATTTCTAGTGACAGGTACAGGGTAAGGGGGTTTTACTCACTGGGGTACCCCTGTGATTCTCTCTGTCGGGTAGTGACAGGACAGTCCTTGTGGGTGAGCAGAATCTGCTTGAGTTGACCCACCTCTGACCTCAACGACGTCACCTCATTCTGGAAACACACAGAGAAACACTCAGTATCCTTGAAGTGTTGTGACATGTGTGTGTGTGTGTACTTGACTGTGTGCCCCACCTGTAGCTGTAGGTTTGTGTGCGTCAGCTCCTCAGCTTTTTTCTCCAGCGACGACACCCAAAGCTTCCTCTTCTGTCGGCAGCGAGTGGCTGCAGCCCGATTGCGCTCCAGAAACTTCTGCCTGCGCTCGTCTGGGTCCTGCTCCGCCGTCCTCCGGCGACGGTTGCTGCATCCTCCTTCTCTTGCCCCACCACCACCGCAGCCACCCCCTGCCTGCATGTCGTGCTGGGAATGGGAAGGGTGCGAGGAGTGCATCTGCTGTTCAACTGGTGATAACTGCAAACAAAACAAAAACAAAACCAGTAACCTCACTGTGCTTGAGTGCAGATACACGGGGTCATGTAGATGCAAAGCACCGTACCTGTGCTGAAACAGGCAGCGGAGGTGCAGGCGGGGATGGCTGATGAAGGTGTGAAGGCGGTGACTGGTGAGCCTGAGTGTGCGGTGCGTTCCCTGGATGGTGAAGCTGGTGGCTGAGAGAGCTTCCCTGCAGGTGCTGCTGCTGCTGCTGCGGAGGGCCGTGGCACCGCTGTGGATAGGGGAGGGTTGGAGCTGGAAGCTGTGGATGATGAGGATGATGGTGGTGTTGTAGTGGAGGGGCCTGGTGGCACTGTGACATCATGTCCATCACATGACCCATGGATGTGCCGGGGGTGTTGATGGCAACCATTCCTGGGTGGTGCTGTTGGAAATGATGACCCAGTGTCTGTTTGGATCTCTGTGTTGGACAAAAAGAAAAAATGAATTGAATTATACTCACTTTTGAATAAAAATCACTCCCCCCTTAAAATACTTATTTAGATACACAAAATCTAGATAATTTATTTCACCTATTAGCACTCACACATTCCTGATATTTATTTTCTCAATATCTCTGCATTATAGTGAAAATAAAATCCACCCCCAAATCTAAATGGCTTCTACCTTGATCCATATCACATCCTTCCACCAGGTTTTGTGGAAATCAATCCAGTAGCTTTTGTGAAATGCTGTAGACAACATAACCTCTGTGGCATTTAGATATTAGATTTGCCATGTTCCATTGAAATACGGCCTGTTATAGTTAGTACACTTGAGCTATACATCAACACTACAAGGAAAGAGTTTGTGATTCTATGGAAACATTTTCAGATGTCTCTCATGGTGGGTAGGATGTGTTTCACCTCCAGGAACCAGTTAAATCAGTAACAGCAGATCTAAGCACCCAGCCTACAAACCACTTTAGGTCAAGCAGCCAAACCTTAGATGTATGAGTCCCCACAGATTTTCCTCTACCTGTAAATAACTTCTATCAGCCATAATCCCCCACGTCGTCCATCGTCACCATCTCTCACAATCCTCGACAACACAACCCGTGAAGACGACAGTAAATAAGACGGACAACGTGTTCCGTCCGCAGCTCGATATCTTCACACTTAATCATTCCAGCGTATCATCT